GTTGCGTGCAGTTATCCGGCGCGCGCGACTCCACTCCCGCGGCGGTGACCTTGATTGATGATTGATGCTGCCGGGGCACAGCGCTCCCGGTAGCGCTGCGCCCAGACCATTCAGGGTCTCATCAATAAAACAATGGACCGACTTTCCAAAAGACCCCGTTTTGTTTGGAAAACTCGAGCACAACACGCATGCGTTATGTTTGGGGGAAGACTTTTCGCCCGTTGAGGCTCTTGGACTCTCTATCCTCTGTCGGCGGAAAGGAAAAAACATTCAGAAAAGCACGAAACTTATATGACAAACGAGCCTACCGGGGCCAAGTTCGCAGCCAGGATGGCTGCGTATTCGCAGCCCTAAGGCTGCGGTCTAGTGGGGTTCGGCGTCTGTGTCAAGGTGTCGCATTTTCGGCGGCGGGCGACCAGGATGCAAAGTGGGTTGTTAAGGGGGGGGAAAACTTGGGGGACCAGTACTTGACAAAATTGCAGACTACCTACAGCAAGCTCGGGGAGAACCGGGACTTTTGGAAAAAGGAAGGACCGGTCCTCAGGTAGAAGTGGACCCCAAAAAGAAGAGAGGGCATGTGAACTGCAAAAGGGCCATCAGGCCCAGGCGTTGAGGCCCGTCTTTCCAAAACGGGGAGGTCAGGCGCAACGAAACAGACGTTTTGCAAGAGGCAACTTTGGTGACTTTGGTGATATTTTGTACTCGGAGGAACTTCAGAAAAATCTGAAATTTGAGAATCCATAGATGAGCGCAGGTTCTTTCCAGGAAAAATATTAGCGCAGATTCTTTCCAGGAAAAATATTAGAACATTTTCAAAAAATCGTTTAGACTGTGAAATAATCATCGAACCGATTCGACACATTTTCCATTTTCGCCACTCAGTCACGTGTAGGCCAACTGAAAAAGTACTCCAAATTCAGTGAGTTTTCGCGCTCCGAAGAATGATCGAAAAAAACAGAAAATTGGAGTACTCATAGATTTTGTTGTGATCTTTCCAGGAAAAATGCTCAATAAATTTTTAAAAATCACTCCAACTGTGAAATAGATCGTGGCCGCAATTTGACCCATATTTCAATTTTGCCATTCAGCCCCCCCC